TAATTGGTTGCAAATAAAATAGGCCATCACTTCATGTGTAAATTCATATGTCCCTCGTAAGATTATTCGTAATAAGGCTTCAGTCCATTGGTTGTCATCCTCAATTTAAATTTATGAGGAAGAGGGATCGATTGTTTCAAAAGGCCAGGCATGCTAAAAAATAAAATGCCTGCTAGTTAGCCTAGATATCGCAATCAAAGAAATTTTGTCTCCCAATTTAATCGTAAACTCCATCGAAATTTTCTAAATGGTATTGTTAGTGATAAACTTGCTGATGGAGATGCTAAACCCTTTTGGAGATTTATGATGTTTAAAAAACGGGAAACTGGGATTTCATCTCTTCTCCGTAGTGATAGTATTTCCTGTGAGTCCCCTGCATCGAAAGCTTGTTCAATTCGAGCCGATCAATTCGATCATTCGAGACGATCAGTCGAGCCGATCAAAGGCCGATCAATCGAGCCGATCAATTCAAGTCGGTTTTCTCTACTTCTTGTGTAACACCTATTCTAAGTTTAAACTATAAGTTCCCCCTGATGAGTAAAATTGTTATATCCCTAAGTGGCGTGTGCTCGGTACTTAAGAATATATGCACACATAAGGCTGCTGGTCCTGATATGGTGCCTGGTTTTATTTATGAGTTTGGGCCTTCTCTACACAATTTGTTTTGTTAATTTTATGTTATAGGTTCTCTTCCTTTCGATTGGAAAAAGGCTCTCATTACCCCAGTTTATAATTGTGGTGGGATCTTGGATCCCTTTCTTCAAATTATCGCCCAATATCTTGGACTTCTCTTTGCTCTAAAGCATTTGAGCATATAGTCCAGTTGCCAAATGACTGAATGTTGCAATCTGGTATATATACAAGGTTTTTAGCTCATCTGACACGGTCAGATGGAGCTTGTACAATGGCACTGGCGTCCGTTCGTTTGTCCGTCAACTTTTGGGCACAAATCTAAACGGCTTGATGTACGGTTTCGAAATTCGGGGCATAGGGGGTAATCCGAAAACTAGTTGGGATCTCGAATCTGGGGGTCAAAGGTCAACGGTCAGGAAGTTTAAAAGAAGTGGGAACATTCCCCCTTAACTTAAGGTATAGGGAGGAAATGCGGAATTGTGGTACAAATCTAAACGGCTTGACCTATGCTTGTGATAATCGGTAAAAAGCGTCATGGTGGGAAAAGCCATCACTGTGCCGAAATTGGAGGTCACAGGTCAAAGGGCAATGGGGAAAAGGGCAGATTTTAGACATTTTCTGAGGACATGGTCTGACGGACCGAGTGAAAAAACTTTTTTGTTTCAGCGGTGACCTACCATTTTTGTGGCTTTATTGAAAGGACTATGAAATGTGCTCTTTGCTGATGTGTAAAGAGTAGCTGTCCGGTGACCTTTTGACCCTCAAGAGGAGGGTTAAACATTGATTTGTTGACTGTTAACAAATGACTGAACTGCTTTTGCTATTATTAGAGCCCATGCCTGTGTGGATGTGAGGCTACAGTTGCACAGTTAAATTGCAAAGGCAAATGTTTGTTGAACAAGGTTTACGCTCCTTAAATCATATTATTTTCTAAAGCAGTCTGTATATTAATAGCACCCTGAATGCTCGCGTGGGTACGGTCATCCGAAATGTAGGCAAAAACACAGGGGCAGCCCATTACTCATGCATGGGGGTGAAGTTCGGGCACTTTACTCATGCATGGGGGTGAAGTTCGGGCACTTTTCTAATCATAGTTGTTGCCTGGCATCCTGCAATGCAGATGTGTTAACTCACAGCTGAGTGAAATTGTCGCCTGCCTGAATATACTTGGATTTTAGCCTGTAGGATTTCAGCAACTCAATGGAGTCAGATTATCTCGACTTTCTTGACTTATCGCGCACGAATGGTGATGCCATCTTTGATTAGGGGGTGTCTATATTCAAGCCGGTACGGGAGATTACGGTACGCATATATTTGCTAATATATTGACTAATTGTGCGTCAATAAACTCAATATTCACAGAGAGTATAGCAAAGATATGTGTCTATAGGTATCTAGAATTTTGAAAATGTAATCATCTGTAATTCACTTCCGCGCACATATATTTGCTATATTGACTAATCGTGCGTCAATAAACTCAATATTCACAGAGAGTATGAATTCAAGCCGGTATGGGAGATCATTTGCATAATATACAGGCCCCTCCCTACGTTGCGTAAACCGGGCGCGCCTGCCCCGTTTGGGAAAACCCCCCGTTTCAATCGTTGAGCCACGTTTAAATTGCCTCCGCCCCGATTAAATTCCACCACAATAAAAGTTTGACAACGCGGGAATCGAGGTCGGCATATGTTTTCATGAACCAGAGTATCCGCGTGATGTACGAACTCGGCTATCTCCGAAGTTGAATGCATACAGCCTGCTGATGGTGCTGGTGGTTGCGCATGGTCATATTCCATTCTACGCATATCAAGTTCCGCATCAAACTTTTCGTATATCAAGGAATGATGCAAAAACTCTACCCCTAACCCTAACCCTAACACTAACAATAAACTGACTCGGTTATCTTATATAAGCGTGTTATAGTACCAAACACTATTAGTGGGGGGACCGGTCACTCAGTCATTTCACATTGATGCAAAAGTTTCATTTTTATTACCAATTTGAAGGTAAGTGTATATAGAACAATTTTGGTTCGAGTGTCAAGCACTCACCTAAGAAATGGTGTTTCTGGTGGCATTGGAGGTTCCCGACCCCAAACCGGCCCTTGCAAAATATGAAAACTGGTATAACTTTTGATTGGATAATCCGATCTAAACATATGAGGTATGTATGGATTTAGGATCAGGAGTAGCTACTTGTACTTTAAGTATCTCGTCCATAGAAGCAATAATTTTGCCGGATTCGGCACATATCCACAATAATAGACCCGAAATCATAGGCCCGTCAAACTAGAATATGTAAAAAATACATTTGACAATAATTCTCAGACATCTTTTAATGGTGGTGAGTTATTGCTTATACAATTGCTTAAACAACTCATTGAACAATAGTTTCTATAACAAATCAGCCATATATGCCTGTCAGTATTGGGAATTGTCCAGCTACTTCTTGCATTTACACTTGCACAGACGCGTGCACTTCAACTTTGCCATCATGCACTTGCACCGAGAGCAGATACTTGTACATGTGCACTTTACATCCAGGTGGAATACATCCTTGGCGAGAAGCAGCAAGATCCAGATGGGAAGCAGCTTGCCATCCTCTTCCTTCCACCCATGATTAGTGGGGTTGTAGACAGGCATCATGGGCATTTGAGCTGTTGTCCAGATGCTCGCTTGAAAGACACTCCTTTTGAGATGTAGATCCAAAGCATCACTCGTTGGGGGAATTCTCCACACGTCTCTAGTCTTTTGTGAGAACACCCTCACTCGTACGAGTTCAACGTCATTGTCCTCGTTTAACTCATTGGAGTACAGCCTACAGACACAGTTTGTTGCCACTTCTTTCAGCCTTGGCGATGTTTGGAATGGAGTGTCGATGATAATTGCAAATTCCTCCTTTAGGGATGGCACTTCATGCATCAATTTGCAGCAGTATCGCTTACCCTTGAACTTGAAGGATGACGTGCTGTCTGATCCAGTGAATGCGTGGAAGAGGGCCATGGCTTTGCACGTTGTAGTACCCAGGTTTGTAGCAATAGTGTTCAGGGAGATCATTCTGGTTGTCTTTCCCGCTTCGAAGGCGATCCAGATTTCTGCGGCTGGATTTAGAGCCATGATGTGATGGAAATTACTCAAGAGGATTACGACAACATCTGTGTCTCCAGTATAAACCATTATACATCCCAGTAACCAGTATAACCATAACCAGTATAACCATAACCAGTATACATCCCAAAAGACGATGTTTGGAGGGCGTGGATGAGATGTACTAGGACACGGGTATCAGTTTCCTCATGGTTGCATTGATCCATTGGTGTACTGTTTCCAATATGGTAGACTTGATCACCTGCAGTGATGTAGACATCCTTTTCATCTAGAAACTCTACTTCTGTTATCTTTTGTGACAGGAAGAGAAGTTCCTTCTTGTTATCAACGTTTGCCAGAAACTTCTGCCAATTCCCTGGGATCTTGGCAGTACCACTCACGCGTTGACGGGTTCCTGTTCCACGTTTTTCCCTAGTGCCTCGTTTGATTGTCAGTGCACGATACTGGTCCCAGACAATGTACTCTTGTCGATCGTTTCAAGTTATGGATAACTCTTGGACAGAATACCTTGTCGAAATATGGATCAAAGGTTTTGCATTGGACAGTTGTACCAAGAAGTGAGTATATCAGTTATCCACCGTCAATAACAATGAAGTCGTAAACATATAGCGCAACTAGCTCCTCGTCGAAAGAAATGCCACTACTCGTACTGGTTTCCATGATGTATATCAACAAATCTGACTTGGTACAAGAGTTAAGGGATCTTTCGGATGATAGTGCTGGTGGTTGGATTCGTGCTGGATAGTGCTGGATTCGTGACGAAAAAACTCCTCCAAATTTCCTCCGCGGCTGTCTAGCACAAGAAAAGCTTGCTCATAGAGCTCTGCATGATGTTTGAAATGCTGCATTCTCCGCCTAAGTGCTGTCTTCTTCTGTGTGTTTTTCTTATGAAACAACAGCAAGTTGTTTCGCTTGATTGGTGCTGTCAGAAGTGTGTCATTTGAGTAAAGCACACTCTCCCTGAATTTGTTGTACTGTTCCTGTCCCAAAGACTCGACTTTACTGACAGATACGGCAGCAGCCACAGTCTCGCACACCTTGTTATCTAACGTAACCAGGTCTTCACTGTCCTCTTCAAAGGGATTCCCCTTGCTCAGCAACACCTCCGTCAAGTCTTTGACATGCCGTTGAAATTGGTGCTGAGATGCATATCCTTCCTCATGATGAGGGAGTTCGTCATCATTAGCATTATCATTCACACCAGTAAACTCCTCGACGACACGGCTGATTCCTGGGCCAGTGATGATCCAACGTTCCAGCATGTCAGGGTTCTATGTAAGACCAATCATGCCAAAAACCCTTTTGTTGGCTTGCTCGTGTGCATGATCGCTTGCTAAGGATGAGAAATGCTGATTGCTTCGAGTTATCGTCCAGTTTCCATTCTCAAACTCTATCTTGATGCTATCTGGAAGAACTTCCATGTCTCGGATAAGGATTGGAATCCACCTGGCATAATTCTGATGATCGAGAGCAATCTGAGTTCGAACTTCCGTTCCCGATGTGCCCGAATGAACATGAATATGATGTGCCAGAATCTGAACGTTGGGCTCTCTTGAGAAACTACCACGACCCAATCCTCTAGAGTCATCTCGGTTGCACTGTGCTCATAGGCTCGCCTCAAAAGGATGTCAAGAACCACAACAGTTACTTGATGGGCATATCTTGTTCTCATTACATGGGATGATTTGCGAAATTCTGTAGCTGCTGCTTCTGTTTTTACCAGCCCAGCTTCTCAGGGTTTCAAGCTATCCAGAAGATCCCCCATGGTGCTCCACAAAGCCATTTCTATATGGAGCCCACCTAGCATCACCACAAACTTGTCTTCCCCGAAGATGTCAGGTAGGGTCCACTGTATTTTTAGGGTACGTCCGACCCTAACCCATGCACGGCCCCCACTATATCTATGGTGGTAGATAGCCACTGACGTACACTAACGTCACGCGTATACTCTGTTTCATGGAAACATATGCCCACTGGGAAGTAGTTTCCCCCTCCCCCTCCCCCCTGTTTCAATTTCATCCTGGGGAGAATCCTGATATATTCCAGATACCTGTAGACACATGTCTTAGCTATACTCTGTGAATATTGAGTTTATTGACGCACGATTAGTCAATATATTAGCAAATATATGCGTACCGTAATCTCCCGTACCGCCTTGAATATAGACACCCCCTTTTGATTATTTATTACACTTGCACGCACCATCTCGCGGCAACTATAAGCCTAGTTTAAATTATATTTTATTCTCATGTAACTTTGTTAAACGAAATAAATAATAACTAGTACCATTTAATATATATTTACTTTTCAACTTGAATCCTAACATGTATCATGTAGCTATGGCCGTGTGTATCCATGTACCAGTTAGGCGAACATATGCTGTTACCATAGAAATATATAGGACACTATATTATAATTTTTATGGCTGTTACACTCAGGGGCATAGGAACAAAGTATTATTGAGGGGTGGTAAAAGGCATCATCGCGAACGATTTTATTTTATTTATTTATTAGCTTATCTGACATAGTCAGATGCAGCTTGTAGAATCGCATGATTGTCCGTGCGTGCGTGCGTCCGGCCGTCCATCCGTCCATCAACAGTTGGGCACAAATCTAAACGGCTCGACGTACGGATTCAAAAGTCGGGATGTGGGGCGGTAATCCGAAAACGAGTTGGGATTCGAAGCTGGGGGTCAAAGGTCAAAGGTCAAGAGGTGTAAAAGAAGGGGGAACATTCCCTCCTTAACTTAAGGTATAGAAGGAAATGCAGAATTGCGGCACAAATCTAAACGGCTCGATCTAGGCTCGTGATAGTCGGTGTATAGCATCAGGGTAGGAAAAGCCATTAGTGTGCCGAAATTGGAGGTCACAGGTCAAATGTCAATGGGGCACAGGGCAGATTTTCGACATTTTCTGAGGACATGGTCTGACTGAGCGATTGGAAAACTTTTTTGTTTCAGCGGTGACCTACCATTTTTAAGGACCATAAAATGTACTTTCCGCTGACATGCGAAGAGTGAGTGTCGGATAACCTTTTGACCCTTAAGAGGAGGGTTAAACACGGATTTGTTGACTGTTAACAAAGGACTGAACTGGTTTTGCTATTGTGGATGTGAGGCTACAGTTGCCACAGTTCAATTGCAAAGGCAAATGTTTGTTGAACAAGGT